AAGCATGCGGAAGGGGATCCTCCACTTAGGATCAGTTAGGTCGGATAGTGCCATTGTTTACCTCCTTGGCATTTAGCTTGGACCCTAGACCCTTAACCCTTTGAATATTCCCATCATAGGCACCTAGAAGTTAACCATTAGCAGGGGTCCTAAGTGCCACGGAGTTACTTAGTCAACCACGAACTGAAATACAGTTGATTACTGCAACATCATGACTCCAGACCCAAACCTGAGGATCATCATGGACCTACCTTTGACTTGTGTTAAGGGTTTAGGGTCTAGGGTTTGCCCATTAACAGCATGCGCGACGCCGGCACTGAATTTGATACCTCGATCGTTTGCTTTAACCTGGCAGCACGGAAAGTTCCCCTGCTGATTGCTTGCAGAGTTCTAATGGTCTATCAGAGAAGGCCAGCATTGGCTGTGCTTCTTCAAGCCCGAAATCCTAAGCAGCCTAGACATTTTCTGGGGGATGACTTAAGGACAGAATTGGTTTGCATTCCTCCTATGTACTTGCACTTAGGTAGGGCGCCTGCTATCCATGACATTGATGGACACATGTTGGAATTTCTGCTATACAAAAGCCAAACCAGAAAAAACATGTACACATATAGCAGTTCTTGAATCTTTTTTTTGGTCCCAATTAGGAATAAGTTTTGGACTACCTTCACTGAGATGTTTGCTAAGGCACATTCAGCGCCTTCGCAGCTCTTCGCTGGGATGGGTCCGTGGTGACCTGGGGAGCTGCAAACGGTGGCGGAGACAGCGGCGCTGTCTGGGAGCGGTTGAGGGCTCAGGGTCAAGGGGCGTAGGGTTTAGGGGAAGTAGGGATAAGGGCTTAGGGTTTCGGGAGCTTAGGGTTTAGGAGGTTCAGGGTTTGGGGGGTTTGGGGTTCTAGGGGCTTAAGGTTTAGGTCTTAGTTAGGGTTTAGGGCTTAGGGTTTAGGTGGGGTTCAGGGTCTAAAGTGATTGGGGCCCAGGATTTAACGTTCAGGGCATTGGCTTCTCTTACTTGGACGTTCATGTGAGCTACAGTCTAAGCTCCTTAAAGGAGGGTTATAGAAGGGATTATAGGGGTTATTAAGGGGGATACTAGGAGTTTAGATTATAGCTCATGTGTACTTTCTGAATAGGAGTCCATAACACTAAACCCTAAAAACTTCAACATGCAAGGTATGGCGGTTCTACTATAACCCCAGTTCAGTTCGACCTAGCCGTGATCTTCAAGTCAGGAGTTGTTAGCTGTTTAGGTTGAGGTGTTCCGGTCTATAGTGTAGGGTTAAGGGATTTATGGCCTTGGTTTGCTGGTTCTTTGTGGCTCAGGGTGCCGGATTGGAGGTGTATACGATATAATGGCTTCCATGTTCTTTTCCATTATCCCTATATAACCTCAATATATTATGCGGTAGCTTCCATGTTCTTTCCATTATCCCTATATAGCCCCAGCTGTTTACAGACCTGGGCAGAGGTAGACCCCTAACTCTAAAGAAAAGGCGCACACCCCGCGCACGTCCACTGACGCACACCCTAAACCCTAAATCCTGACCCAGTCCAGGAGCAGCTCAAGAATGTGCAGCAGATTCAAGCTACGAAGCAAGCTGGCGCGGGCAACTGGGTTGCTGTTAAGGGAGTTAAGCCAAGTTATTATAACAAGGGTATAATATGGGGTTTAGGGTGTAGGGGCTATATTATCCCCCATAGAGGAGAATCAAATGGAAAAGACGATAGAAACTGAAGTCGAAACTACGGTAATTCAAGGATTTAAGGAACTTGAATTAAGTTGCCATAATCAACATATACATATAAACATATATATATATACATATTTATATAGGGTATATAGGGTTAATGGAAAAGAAAATGGAAACTACCATAATGTGTTGTATAGGGATTATATTGGTGTATGGTTTCCCCAATATAGTCATTTAATCTAAGTTCTTTAACAGCAACCGAGGCAACGGAGGTGCCTTCGCCGCCATCCTATCTGATGGATCAGCCGTATCGTGGGGGGATGCTCGAGTAGGTGGTGACAGTGGAGGTGTTCAGCAGCAACTGAAAGATGTGAAGCAGATACAGGCCAGCAACCAAGCATTTGCAGCTATCCTGGGAAATGGCAGCGTGGTTACTTGGGGGTGGAGTGGTAAATCTGACGAGCAGGAGCACTTGTCGAACGTGCACAGTATTCAAGCATCAGAAGAAGTGCTACTGGGCCGCTGTTTTGGAACACTTTGTTGGTTTTGGCTGCAAGGATGTGTGGTTGCGTATGCTGCGCAGTTTAAAGAATGGTGACACTCTTCTGCTTCGGGCTCTCCAACCACCCCCTCTACTACCCCCTTTGGGTACCCTCTCTTCAATTTGAACTATCTAGGAATATATAGCCTAAACAACCCTAAGTACGGAGAAACCTACAGGGTTCAGTATAGAAGGGTGGTTAGCGGCAACCGTGCTACTGCAGTTCCTCCTGGATCTTGCAGGACCCATTTTAAGGGTTTAGACTTTAGGTGCAAGGCGTGATGAGGGAATTTCGAATTTTGCCACCAGAATCCTCAATTTCTGTAGTCCCCAATATCTCTTCCCTGAGGGCAACAGATATTGAGTCAGAAACATCTCGAAATCTGAGTCCCTGAGTTTTAGACCCCAATCCCTTATAAACCCCAGACCCTAAACCCTAAACCCTGAACCCTAAACCCTAAACCCTAAACCCTATACAAGCGATTTAAAGGACCCTAGGGATATCCAGAAGGTTCGTTGCCATCCTGGAGGACGGATCCACGGTTACCTGGGGCCAGCCGGCGAAACGTGGACGAGGGTGAGTGCAAATGTTGAAAAAGTTACCCTCAGGGTCCAAGGACCCAAATAATAGGGCCCCTTTAAAGGGGTTTTATAGGGGGATATATAGGGATATATAGGGACTATATAAGGGTATATAGGACCCAAATAATAGGGTTTTGGGGCCCAAATGGTATAATATTAATGGTATTTGGGACCTAAAGCCCCATTATTTGGGTCCTTGGACCCTTAGGGTTAGTGTTAAAAATACTCCAGGCAT